TTAGTCGTGGATCGGTTATTGATATGTTATAATTGTATGTGCAGGTATATACACCATGGAGCCTGGACCGATTAGTGATGAGGTCCTATATGACCAGCCTCGACACCGTTCACATGTTATATCTTTTACAGAGGTAACTAAGTTTCTTATAATTTCAATATTGCATTCTTATAATATTGTATTCTTATATATTCATTTGCTTTACAGAGAGGCCCAGATATTGTTATGGTTGATCATAGCCTCAGCCATAGCCGTTGGCATCTAGAGGATGAGCGCATAATAGCAGTTGTAGGACCGGCCGGCTTCTTAACATGTTCAAAGCTTCGTTGGATGAGGCTCGATTGGGCCCTACTCACTGCTTTGATAGATAGGTGGAGGCCGGAGACCAACACTTTCCACTTCCGAATGGGAGAGTCTACTATTACGCTACAGGATGTAACCATGATACTTGGTCTCCGCATAGATGGTCCGTGCGTTACCGACAGTGATAGACATTTTTGGCCGGACAGGTGCGAGGAGTTGTTAGGTGTAGCTCCAGAGTCAATACCTGGAGGAAATATTAAATTGAAGTGGCTAAAAGAGACCTTCTCGGTGCCGTTGCCTTTTGATGCGCCGCAAATATTGATTGAGCAACATGCATGTGCATACATTATGCACATGATCGGTTCAATATTATTTCCAGATTCGAGTAAAGATAAAGTGCATGCCAAGTATCATTTTTATCAGTATTTACAATTATGTCTGTTGATTTAGCTTATTTTTATAACTTGAAATGTTGTGAAAATGCTAGGTGGTTACCACTTATCGGGGACTTAGACACGTGTGGTGCGTTATCGTGGGGTAGTGCGGTTTTGGCGTACCTATATAGAGAGATGTCTAAGGTTGCATTCATAAAAAATAGTGACCTCAAAGGGTGTCTCAGCTTACTGCAAGTATGAGCATGGGAGAGGCTGCATTTGAAGCCGAGGCTATGCGTGAATTTACAATTAGACGGACAAATTCAACTAGGATGCAGGTATTATATTTTTTAACGTAGTAAATATAATTGTAGTTATTCATTTGGTACTGAATTTTGAAACTAACACAGATGGAATGTTCAAAAATGTTTTGACGAGACCCCGGCTAGACAGTTAGATTTCTACCGAAATGAGCTTGACCGCATGAAGATTTTTCAGGTATCATTTCTATAAAAACGAGTTTTTTCTTCTATATATCAACTTTCGTTTTAATGATATGCAACAATTATATGTAATACTCTGTAGATGGAATGGGAGCCCTACACCCCATTTCTCGATCATCTACCCCCGATATGCACAGAATACCCAGTTATATGGAGAGCCAGAGTTTCTCTAATATATTTCGAGATAGTAGAAATGCATGTACCGGACCGCGTGCTTCGACAATTTGGTCTTGCACAACATGTTCCACAATTTGTTGAAAAAATAGAGAGGAATGCGAAGAAAGAAGGCCAACAAAAGGACTGGGCAGCTGAGCATCAAAATTATATACACAGATGGAATGATAGACATTTTTGTATTGTTGAGCAAATCGAGCCAACTCCCCAGGAATCAGATTACTACACTTAGTATTGGAGGATAACTAGAAGATGGATACTCCATGCGACCACATCCCCGGTTGAGTTGCAAAAAAGATATGTGCCTCGGGGTATAGATGAGAGAGAATTAGTAAATATTTTCAAATGTATTTTAAGTTCATTTTTATTAGAATTTTTCAATATTGCTAAATTAAGTTTTTTTAAAAATTTGCAGGTATCAGCAATAAATGATGTTCAAACCATTGCAAATCGTGGCTTAGAATTGGCTCGAGCAGGTAATATAGAATTAAATATAAAATTTACATATTGTAATTTGAATTTTAAAGTAATTTTTGCATTTCGGATTTTTTTGAATTATCTCTCGCAGGTACATATCCCGAAGCACAGAAACATGCATCAATATATCAGTCGATAATGCAGAGGCTTCACCAAGCCTTACATCGAACTCATGAAGACCTTCATGATGGACGAGAGGTAGCGCAATTAGTATACACACGTCAACAACGACATAGACGAGGACAACGCAGAAACGACAATGAAGCTGGGCCTTCCCAACGTGTTGACTATGGAGCTGGACCGTCACAACCACAAACGCAACCGGATCATGAACTCATCGAAGGTCGGGATAGAGGAGGCCGAAGACAAAGGAGGAGGAGAAGAGTTCTTGGATGTATGTAAGCTAATCGGTATTGTTATATAAATTACAATCCTATTTTGATATGTACATTACAAACATATTTCGGGACAATAGATGGTTTTTGGATTTGTAGCTGAGACTGTGGTGTGACTTATTAGATTTGTAAGTGGGTTTGTGGCGTGATTTGTTGGATTTGGATTCGTAAGTTTGTGGTGTATTTAATGATTTTTAGATTTGATATGTGTTTATACAAGGAATTGACATATGAGTTTGTACAGGGAATTGATATATGCGTTTATGCAATGGTGTAATTTATGATTGTTGCATTTGAAATATGAGTTTGTACAGGGAATTTTCCCGTAGCAGAAATACATGCACAGTTGTGAATGTGCAGGAAAGTACAGGGAATTTTCCCGTAGCAGAAATACATGCACAGTTGTGAATGTGCAGGAAATGCACGGGACTACGAGTCCCGTGCATTTCGTTGTGCCCAGGAAGTGCACGGGACTAGCGGTCCCGTGCACTTCTTTTGTGACTCTCTGTAAAGTGCACAGGACTGCTAGTCCCGTGCACTTCATTTTTGTAGAGACGTTAGTCTCTGCAAAAAACACGGGACTGCTAGTCCCGTGTTATTCGAAACTGCCTCGAAATACACGGGACTAGCAGTCCCCTGTATGTCGTAAAATTTCAAAACCAACCCTTTTCAGAAGAAAATGGTCGGTTTTGCTGAATAAATTTCTAAGAGGTCGATTTTGCTATTTAAATTACGAAAATGGTTGATTTTGGGTCGGTTTTGCTGAATAAATTTCTAAGAGGTCGATTTTGCTATTTAAATTACGAAAATGGTTGATTTTAAAAATTTGTCCTTTAATAAATTTCTAAGAGGTCGATTTTGCTATTTAAATTACGAAAATGGTTGATTTTAAAAATTTGTCCTTTTAAAATAGGATCACCCAGATGCAACCAAACCGCGTATCGCGACAATCACGACAACTGCAGTTGCATGTAGACCGATATTTGCCATGCAATTACAGTCACCACGGACCAAACAATCTGTAAAATATATAAAAGGTAAAAAAGGAAAATGCAAATACGCTAGAGAAGAGGGACAACGTAGTTGCTCTTCATTTGTAATTGGTTAGAACAATAGAATGTACTTCCCAACTACACTTTCAGTACATGGTGGCGGCCATTGCCCAAATTATACTATTTAAAGTGGGACCGATCGACTGTCCAAGAACACGAGGCCATTAACAAGCTTTATGAATAAACAAAACTACGGTCAAAAACTTCGAGCTATTAAGTTTACATTTTAGGTATAGACCTCCCAAAATCTTTGAACTGCGGGAGCTTCTGTCTTCTCGTGGGACCCATCAATAAGCTTTGCAAACACTATTAGATGTAATAATATAGACATCTTAGATTATAGACTTATGTGCTATTAATCATTTCGGGTTTAATAAATGTAATAATATAGACATCTTAGATTTAATTAATATACTATTGCTGTGGTTTGAAGAGATGCGTATGCTTGCGGCATGATGGTTTTCGATGTTCTTAGAAAGGATAAACGTACGTTAAGTGGAAGCTTCACCGTAAAGCATTATGTTGTTTTATATTTTGCTCACAAGAGCTGATTGTTCTTAATTATGAAAAACACTATTAACTGATCGATGAACTTTTAGGTGGAACCACGCGGATCTGCGCATCCTTGAACCTCTAAACGAGGAGAAATCACCCGATAGATACAGCACGTGACATTAAACATGCACCCAAAAGATATCAACTATTAAAGTTGGGCGCACGAATCTTAAAATCTAATCACCCAACGATTGATATTACTTGAGCGCACATTTAATATAATAAACCCAGGTTATATGAGAAAAAATAAAGATGTTATAAAGAAAGAAAACTTTTAAACGCATACATGAATGGTAAATTTTCACACGGATCACACCGATTAACGAAGTTCGAAGCGAAAAAGCCACATTGAAAATATGAAAACTGTCGCATCAATAACCAAAACATACACAGCTAGTCGAAGAAAATAAGTTGAGCGAAAATGCATTCATCAACTCCATTAACAAGGTTATTAACCTATTTGAAAGATAAACCACCAAAAAGAATATGTTTCATTAACAGTGAAACCTGAAGCACATAGGTTAGAAATTATGAGGAGCACACATCCCCTTTCGCTCTCTTCACCGGTTTTCCTACCGTTTCCTTAATTAACGATGCGTTGTAATATCCTAAAGAACTGGTTTCAGGTGGCCCTTTTAAAAAAAAAAAGAGAATTTCAGGGGCGGCGCTGTGGCAAAATGTTGTTGGTAAACATTTATGCATGGCTTGTGAAAGTCATTATGAAAAATAACGCAGATTCTGGTCGGTTCTGCTTGATAGTGGGGAAAAAACATTTAAGGGGCTGTTTGGTTGTTGTTGGTAAAGTTGTGTATTTATGTCCACCTCATCAATTTCACTTTTATATTTTTCTTTGTTTGTTTTTTATTCCATTGGAATCATAAATTGCTTGTTTGGTTTGCAAATGTAATTTTAATTGTTTGTTCGGAAAGTGTAAAAAATGATCCCTACTCAAATGATCATATTGGTTAGAATTATTTTTTATTATTTTTTCCTGACTTCAATGTCAGCTTTCTCCTAAAATCATATCTTTTTTTTTAATGAAATCACTTTACAAGCCACGTCAGCATATGAAATCACTTTACACTATTTTCACAACTACAAACAAACAATTGAAAGTGATGAAAGCTAACATTAGGGACCATGACTTCAAATCTGGCATCGTGAACAGATGCATAGATCAGAGTGTGCATCATAGAGTTTTCTTAAAGGGACCATGACCTCAAATCAAAGCAATAGTTTTATCAACAACGTGCTTTATGCATACATAAACCAAGCTACATGCCGATCCAATCCCACACAGGAATAAGGTTGAAATTGAATTGATGAGGTCGCTTTCCGTCAATTCCAAAAAATGTCCTAAAAGCCAAACATTAACAACCATAAAGGAAGGAAAAGGGATGGAAGCCCATGATGACTTGCATTATAGTTGCGCACAAGACCCTCACATGAAACTTGAAAGGTTTGGAGCCTCTACAGAAGTAAAGTTTTTAAAAGTTTGAAATCATGAGACTTTACATTAAACTATCACGTTAAAGTAAACTATCACGTTAAAGTTCCTTACCCTTATTAGATGAAACAAGATGCAGCTTGCTGTGTACTAAAAGGTGACGACGGAACATTCTGAAAGAGGAGAGTGTAAAAAAAAAAGGTAACGAACTTTTTAACGCAAAAAAAAAAAAAAAAAAGTTATCAGCATAAGAAAATCAACAAGTATGGCAACTTCTACAGTAAACTTAAAAAAGTTCTAAATTGAAGCAATCTCATCAATATTCAAGAACATTCTAATAGAAGCACCCTTGGTGTTCACTGCTCAGAAATCAAAACTACAGTAGCATACAAGACAAAACTAGTGTGAGGCCCAGATTGAGGCTATCTCAATACAAGACAGCAAAACTTTTAGGGTCTAAGAGCATCTCCAACAATGATCCTAGCTTTTCCCTATATTTGAGGAGCAAATATCCCATCCCAGGAAATAGAGAGTCAAATAAGGAGCAAGTGCTCTAACAATGCTCCCCAAAGTACTGTAGATACAGGGAATGTCTCAATTTGTCTTTGATTTGGAAGATGCTCTCAAGGACCCTATATTTGGAATATGGGATAGGGAGCTTGTTGGAGCCAATTATTCACATCCTACTCCCTAAATTTGAGCTAGGATATGGGATAAGGAGCCTCTTGGAGATGCTCTAAGCCCTACTAATGCAGGATGATAGCAAACTTAATCTAATGATTAGGGGGAATTAATTATATAATGTTTTAGGCCGATCTATAAAGAAAAACATGTGTCTGATTGGAGTTAGATCATGCAACAAGGAAAGTCACTGAAGTGGACTACCTAGCAACCGGAATTATTATGAGAAAATGAAGCCATCAATTCTGAGTCAAATTAGGATGACTTAAAACAAATTGCAGGCCAAATGCTAGCAATCATAAGAGATCAGAAGAGTTAAATGTAATTGTAAAACAACTATGATAAAGGATGATAATTGAATATATAAAAGCATGTAAAAGAAACTGAAATTCTTGATAAGAGCATCTCCAAATTCCACTCTCCAAATTGGAATATTCCTAGAATATTCCAATTTGGAGAGTGGAATTTAGAGATTAGCTCCAACCCACACTCTCTAAATATTTTTCTTTTAATTTTTTTGTCAACAAAAGCCATATAAATTAATAATGTTTATAGTTTACATTAATAATTTTATTTTTAATAATTTATTTTGGAAAAATAATAATAACATTAGAAAGGTGTCGACGAGAGCTTTAAAATGAACCCAATATTAATAATGCAATACAACATATTAAAAAAATAAAATCTGAAATAACAATGACAAAGCATACATCGATAAAACAAGAAAGCAAACATAAACCTCTAATACAACATACCATAGGTCGCAAACATAAACCTCAAACATAAAATATGATAACAGACAATTAAAATTCCGGCAGGTCATTATCGTTATAACTACCGGTTCTATCCCGATCTCTCGATGAACCCCCATATTCATTTCTTCCTACAAAACCAGCTTCTCCCGCAAACTGAGAAAATCCTCCTTGATCTCCAGAGGGAAATCTGTATTCGTTTTCTCCTCCTATAGCTCCTCTAAGAAGCTCAGAAAATCCTCTTAGCCCTCTGGAGGAAAATTCATAGTCGAATGATAGAGCTCTATATTCCTTTCTATCAATAATTTCTTTTTTTTTTTGTTGATAGTAAGCACGTTCAATTTGATCGACGATCTTACTTAGATCAATCAACATAATTGAACATTTATGGCAAAGGCACGACAACGAATGAATATAATTTAAATATTGTTTTATGCTTGTATTTTCTTATGGGACAAGCTAAATAGACCTCCGTATTTAAATTTTCATGTATGTTACTTATTTATTTAATTTAAAAAAATAATATTTTCATAATAATACTAAAATAAATTAATCTTAGTTTCATTTTGAAGATCTCAACAAGAACTTTCCAAATATATAATTATTTCGAAAATTAGATTAATAATTTTTTAACTATATTTATTTGAAATTAAACATCTAATTTAAATTACTAAGAATGATGGCAAAGTGATAATTTTTAAGAAATTAAATAATTGAAAGTGGCAAAGTTGTAAATAATGAAAGTTTGAATAGCGATTTGGAGAGCCTCTCCAAATTCTAGCTTCACTCTCCAAATTTGGAGAATGAACCATCTCCAAATTTGGAGAGTGATTGGAGAGGATTCACTCTCCAAATTTGGAGGGATGGAGATTTTGCCGAGTGATTGGAGATGCTCTAAACTTGCAAACTAGGTAGAGCAGTTGATGATCGCGTCAGAATCAACATTATATGGTCCCTAGCATTCATCCATTAAGTATTACAGTGCATAATTGAGAAGGTCTGGAGCCTGTTATTTTTGTATTTATTGGACTTATCACACGTGCAATTAACTTTATATTGAGCTTTAAGACTATAAATTCCGCAAGTTGCAGGAAGGATAGCGCTCAAGAATCTAATAAATGAGGTCTCCATGCTGACGTGCTCTCACCCATGTCTCTATATCTAAGTTCATAGCACTGTGCTTATGATATCACTAGAGAATAAAGTGATTCTAGTTTAATCGTGCATTATACATATGGCAATAATGGATTCTCATCAATGGTGAGATGATTTCCTCAAAGTAATATATTTCCGGGTTCAATTCAGAAGTTTGGTTGAAGACTTCGGTTTCTGATAGATCAATACATAAGTTTTTCCCCTGAAAAGGAGGAGCAAGAATTCTTCTTTCTGGAGATGCTGAATGCTGAACGTACGTCTAATTTGGATGTGTGATAACAGCTAGCAAAGTCGGAAAATGTCAAGTCTAAAGCCATCAGCGAAAAAAATATATCAAATTTTTACCCAACACAAGCTATCAAGGTCGAGTAGGCGTTCAACGCTTATCAGGAACAGTGTCAACACCAAATAACAAACTCAAGGAATAGTTGCATGATGCATATGTTTAGCTAAGTTCTAATCCATCCCACACTGCAAGTTGGAGGAAGGCTGCAGTTAGGATGTCAACATCCAATGACTGACTATTCATCTAAAAAGTCGACATCTAACTCCACCATGGCAAGTCCTAATCCTTTGTAAATAAAACATGATGCGTTATAAGCACACGTATCAGATTTCATGGTATCAATTTAGACCACAATTCATGAAAGAAACCATGTTACGAAAAGAGAGAGCAAAAGATGAAAGGCTCAACATGTGGACGTTCCAACAATGTTCATTAACTGATCTAAATGAGTATCGAAGGCTCAACATGTGGACGTTCCAACAATGTTCATTAACTGATCTAAATGAGTATCGAACTGACAGAACATAATCAGATGAACATAATCAGTGATCTAAATGAGTATCGAACTGACAGAACATAATCAGATGAACATAATCAGATGAACAGTTGTATTATTGGCAAGGATTATATAGATAATTTAAAGGTTTCTCAACTAGTAATGAATTAATTGCTGGACACGACTGAACCGGCCATTCCTCTATAGATTTTGATCAAACTCAAGAACCTGACACCAGATACAGACAAACAAACCGATCTTTGCCATAAGAATCCTAACTTAATCATCAATGAGTTAGCATAAAAGTGGCCAGTGTGAAAATATTCAATATAAGACAGATTCTCAATGCCTATTTGCTCACTTGTATGCCAATAGCATATAATGTTAATGGCATACAGGCATTGACTCGGTTGATCTAATGATTGGGGAGAAGAATATTTTTAAGTTGTCAGACAAGGTGGCACACAAAGGCACCAATACCTTTCTCTTTACGACCAGTTAGGTGTATGTGTATCTTTGACTATTGAACATCAGTAGCATGTATTTCTTGACCCTTGGCTATTTGCTTAAAGCCAGATGCTTAGAAAAATACATGTCTTATCATTCAGTAAAAAGATGCCCAGAAAGATATCTGCTTCTTAACTACTGATTCTTTTGATTCACTAGCATGGCTAATTAATAGCAAAGGTCAAGCTAATAACCTTGAGATTGTTAATATACAAAACATGGCGGGGGTTGAATCACATCAATCAAATTCCAATCCAAACTTCACCCTAGAGTGAGCAAATTGCCGATCTTGGATTTTCATGACAGTATCAATAATGGATATTTCCAGATAAGATAATTTATAAGGAACTTTCCTTTAAATCAAAATAAATTTTCATAAGAATGTTCAACCTCATGAGAAAGAAAAATGGTGTCTGGTTTAGTACTCAAAACGAAGAAAATAGAAATCTACTTGTCTCACACAGAAGATTAAACATGAAATGTGACATTAAAAACTACAGATAAAATTACTATATCTGATGAATTTAAAGGTACCCCTTCCAGTAGTGCCACATACATTATATTACCAAACATATGTTTGCCTCATTGATATTCTAGCAGACTGTTCTTGTCAGATCTGTGAAGAAATCTTGCAAGCTAGTATTACATCTTGTAGTAAGCAATCAGAAAGACTCAGAAAAACTAATGATTCTAAGTGTGAATATAGGCGTACAACGTAAGGAACCTAGTTATAAATTCATGGTTAACAATTAGCTGGATGTATTCTCGAAGTTGTTTGTCAAGAAATTCTTTGGGTTTTAGGGCCAGAAATTAGATTATGCATTCATTATTAAAATTTTGTACAAATTAAGACAGAGATATCAAAACCGTGTGTCAACATGTTATAAGATAGCATATCTAATAAAAATTGCAAGAGACCAACCTGAAAAAGCAAAATATAAGATTCTAGACTTAGCCTTCTTCAACTACGATGGTCAGAGGAAGTAACAAGTGATAAAACTAGAAATATATGACTTTCATGGATCGATCAGAATAAATCTCAGTTTACTTTGAAATTCAGGCATTATCAAAGTAAAGTATTCAAGGTCCTTGCACCATGTTCAGGTTCTTATCAGAGAACAAAGTCTACTTAAAGCAAGCTCAATCTCATTCTAGTTACTGTAAATTGAAGCGTTAATCTTTGAGAATGGCATACTAATGTTACAAAACACGTAAAAATGAATGTGCAGTTTCTATCTAGACATTTCTAAAACTTTGGTGCTTAGTATTAAGTTGATCCTAATCTGATAGTATCCATCCACTTTCCATCCAAGATATTGATATTTCATATGCACTACTTTAAACTTTCCTTCTGCATTGCAGTGTCAAGTCATCTCATACCAGCATAGCTGTCACCCTGGTTCTTACACCAATTCATTACACATTATAAATTTGGGAACTATCAAGCTTAAGAAAAACATCTGCTATGGCATAGGAAAGGTGGCAAGATGACTCATCTTGTTAAATGAAATCTACAAAGAGTGCTTAAAACTCATAACTGTATTGGTGAAAAACAAACTAGATAATGTTGAAAAATTAATAAAATTAGTTGTTTCTGTGACAAGTGCAAACTGCTACAACAAAGACCGATTAAAAAATTTAGGCCAGTTACATTAATCCCTAACTTCTGTAGCTCCATTTAGTCCATGTTCTCTGATAAATTAGCTTGTCTTGTTCTAAACAAAAGGATGTATGCAAGAATCCTCAATTTGTTGTATTCTTAGTCTTGATGCTATTTTACATTTTAAAAAAAAGTAATCAAGACTCCTTAAGGCCTATAGTGACACCACATATGTTAAGTATTGTCGTTAGGATTTTTTTTCCAGGGGCCAAACATTTAGTTAAAAATCTTCGGGTCCATCTTTGTCAACAGATCCCTTAAATCTGCCTTCCTTTTTGCCTTTTTTGTATTTTTATTGTCTTCCATTTCTTTTTGTTTGCTGTGCAGTGATGGTGGTGGTTGGAGGGCATTGGGGGTGGGGGAGAGAGGAGGGAGAAGCCAAAAACTAATGCAATGTTTTCTGGAAGAATAGCGTAGTTATCTAGCTAAACAATCTGATAATCAAAACTTAATGGGAAAATTTACAAGGAAGTCTGAAGAATTTGATTAGACAATCTTATAATGGGAGCAGAGAGAGTTAAATCCCATTCAGGCTCAAGTATCAACAGGAAGGTTTATTATTTTTATATTTTGAACATCTCAGCAACATCTTTAAGGGTGTAGATACTAGAAATACATGTAGCTACATTCTATGAATAAAACATACATGATTCAAAATAGCAGTACGCTAGCAAAAGCATTCAGGATCTTCCAAAAAGAGAGCATTCAACCACATTGGTTAAACAAAATGAATGTAATAGGAACAAAACAATGGGAATCACACCTTAGGGGACTCATGGGAGCCCATGCTCAATTAACCAAATGAGTCCTCATACCGCCATTTATTGGTATTGCTGTAGAAAGATATTATCATTGTGAAGAAAGAAGTACTATCAAGGAAAACTGGATTTACATTTAACTTAACTATATTGAGGAAAACAGGCGTAAGAAAAACATGCTTATCTAGACAAAATGTTTAGGCATGGCAACTGGTTAAATCATTAAAGAATTCTTAAGGAACATAAAGGTGCAAAGGCTTTTCAAGCACTAACCAATGTGGGTGGGCTGAATATGCCATATATTCCTGTATTTTTTTCTTATAAGCTGTATATATGCTGGCATTGTAGCACACATGTATGTGCAATTGTAACCATAAAGCAGGCTTAAACCATCTTGACCCCACAATTGTAACCACAAAGCAGGTCTAAACCATCTTTACCCCTAGTTTGACCTAGTGGCAAAGAGGAGCTAATATGTGTACAAAGGAATGTGCTAAGCCTAAATACCATCACCATTCACTTCATGACAGGAGAACAAGTCTTATTATTTTCAATTACCAAATCAAAAGTTACTTGCAAGAGTCCAAAGATGATAAGAACAAACCTCCAGGATCTTTCGTTGGAGCCTGAAGCAGCAGAGTCTGTGAAAGAGCGCATAGGTGTTTGACTCCCCATGCCGTATCAAGGTGTTTCCCTGATAGAGACGGAAAATGTTTAGCCATGAATCAAACTCTTAGGAAAAAATGAAGGGGAAAAAATATTCCAGGGAATTAGCGGAATGGAGTTTTACGAACAGCACAATCAGCAATATTATTTTTATTAACTACAGAACCACAGAAAGTTTAGTATATAATATCAAACTGAAAATTTCCCCTTATTTTTGTTTAGGTTTTCTGGAATTGAAGCTTACCTCTAATAATCTTCATCTGTGAATCCAATTCAACACGCACCGATACATCTGTAACTTCTTTCAACGACGATGATATCCTTTCAAGGGACCTGCTCGACTTTTAACAATTCTACTCGCTAAAGGATTATGCCCTCTGTCACATCCAAATCTTCCACCAGGTTTGCAGAATTAATCTGAACACTCATCAGAAAAAAAAAATCCAAGTTAATGAGCAGAAAGCTATCAAATTAAAAAATTCAATCCAAGTTACCGAGTAGGAAGCTATCAAGTTAATTTGGCACATAACATGCAATTAAATATGGCCAAACAAGATACTCAATGCAAAGTACACAAGCATACTTTCTGCGGCAGATCCTGTAGTTGGTCCATTAGAAGAATGAAGAAATGAACATCTCAAATTAGCCAAGGAATTTAAACCCTGCATATCTCCAAATATAACAAGCACTAGTTTCCAATGCAACACAGCAAAAAAGCACACCAACATTTCTAAACTGTACTCTGAGTTGACGAGAACTAGAGCCATGCACTTCTTTGACGGTTCCCTTGCGATCCACCAATGACCATACAGGACTGAGCATACGCACAAACAAAACCAGCATGCTCTGGGTGATGGCCATCATAGATGAACAAGATTCATTTATGCATGCATTCGACAGAGCCTTGCTTTCCCTAATTAAGGAACTCATCAGTAATTTAATTATGTAAACAAGAAAAGTAAAATTGTTAATCTCACCTTACCACTCCTCCAGAACCCTCATGACATCCTTTGCTGAAATATGTTCCTTGAGCCATTTGACAAGCATAACCTCAGTCCTAGTGGGACCCCTTTAAGCACCTACATATACATGAATATCACTGCAAGAAATTTCAGTAAATCATAAGAGACAAACAATAGGAAGCTTTGATCTGCTATCCATAAATAACAATCACAAAGTTTTCTACAAAATAAAACAAAAGGAAAAGTACCTACAAAATAAATTTAAACTGATAATTAATGCTTGAATAAGTAATTACCGGTAGCCCTTCCATCTTCAGTCTGATGGATGTTCTCTTCCTCCACTTTTTCAACCCAACCCAACAGATTTTTTAGATCTCCTCAAACAACTATAACATCATCACCCCTGAGAAATTTACCATTTTTCTGTTTACAAATAAAACAGACGAGTTTTCCACATCACCATCAGGATCATCAGGTTGTTGGAAACTGACTAATTTCATGGATACTTTTATATAAAAACCCTCCTTTGAACATAGTAATATCCACAGCTTCAAAATAATCACCAGTCTTTGTCCCTCCTACTCTTTGAAAACAATGAAACAAATAAATGTATCAGTTCTTGTTCTTTAAATACCAAAGTTCACAGCCAACAAAAGAGTGATGAAAGTATCATCCTTCATCAATGTTGAAGAAATGTGGTAGAGGTACAAATGTCTTCTTTCTTCTGATTCACCTACCTTCCTGATAAAATTGAGGATAAACTACTTTGAACGTAAAGGAAAGGAAACCTAACTAGCAAGCAAAAAAAATGTTTTACTGCCAAATTTACAATGCAATGAGTGCATAAGAATACTTGAAGACAGAGAATAACCATCTACAAATAAGTGGAACGGAAGTCACACAAGCCATCTTAGCAGCAATGTTTTGTAAATCAATCTTTCGGATGAGCTTAACTGTTACCTTCTGCCCTGCATAATCAACAACAACAACAACCTGAAATATAGAAGGTTATTCAAAAAGTAAGATTTGAAAGAAATTATACGATATACATAAAAGATACAAGAGTATAACTGAAAAGATACTAAACTTAGATGCATATTTCTGCAAGATCTTCTTTATAGATCTGAAGTTTCATGTGAACCCATATGTCCCTTGCAGGATCGACAATTATGCTTTCAGCTGAAAGTACGTCAGTCCTTTCTTTTATCAGAACTAGCATCAATTTATTGGAACTGAATATGTTCCATAGACCTTTGCAAGCATGCAAAATGAGGACTGACTCCTTGGTTAGAATAAAGAGTAAAAAAAAATTCCTGCAATGCCAGTCATTGAACGGGAATAAAAGGATCACATACATACCTTTTTAAAATGGGATTTGACAGCTTCAACATTGATATAATTTTTTAGATGATCTGATGCAATTAGTGATGGGATCCAAAGCTCAGGGCTGAACAATCTGACAAACATGAACAATGAGTTAAATTTATTTGAAATAATCAAACAAAAGAACAAAGGTCCTACAGCACATTTCACCCTCCACAACTTTAGAGTAAAATTTTGATCTAAATAGACTAAACAAAATGTAGCATCATGTATCTCCATTATCCTGGCTAGAAATAGCATAATTTGTCGCATAAAGAGATACAAAATTCTGCAAAGCTAACTAACAGCTCCAGGCATTTTTCTTTTTCCCACTTCTTTTTTTATATGTCAATAAACTATATGTGAAAATATACAAGAAATAAGTATTGTCATCATGAGAATATTTGAGCTAACAATCAATTAAAGCTGCCCGGCTCATTTTCTCTTTTCCCCTCAATTCTAGTCAATTCTGCAAAAACCTCATAAATGCGCGCACGCACATGCGCTTGTGGGGGTCAAGGATCAAATCCGAAGCAATATGACAAATGCAAATTCTCTGAATTGATGATTTGACAAAAAAGATTTAACTAATTATAGATGGAGAACAAAAATGAAAAAATAATGTTTACAATTATCTTTTCAACATCCCGCTTCTATCCTGTTTGATGTTCACATAGCAGCATGGAAGCAGGTTACACACAAGCATAATCTTGTAAAAGTCTAAGTAATGTTCAAACAATGCAGCTCTAAGCTCTATTCTCAATTTACCTCAAGCTTCTCAGATAGAAATCTAACTTTCAATTTCCAATTGCTACGTTGAAATCATGAGAATCAATTGAATAACCTTGGGTTCTCTCTTTTATATAAACCCTAATTCAATCTCCCGCTACAAGTACGGGAAAATAAAAGCAATCCAATTTCCAAAGTCAAATAATATACCGAACTCATCAGTTTCAATAAACAAGGGCGAGATTAGGGCAGAAAACCTAAATTGATTCACAATTGAAAAGAATCGGAGCCCTAACTTACAACTTACAAACCCTGAATCGCTAAATTTCCCAAATTGAGGAAATACGTCAAAGATATTCGAGTGAAAACGGCTGATTCAAGAACCAAACTTTTTCCTTCTTCCTCCTCCGATCCTCTTCAAGAGCTTCTTCCTCCTCCGATGAAGCTGGAGATTTAAAGAGGAGAAAAGGGAACAAGAACAAAACCCTAGAAAACTCCCTCGAAGAGAAATTTCTCGATTCTGGTTCAATTTTGGTTCGCGCTCAAATTATTCATCGCTTCAATCTCTCGCCGTATTTATGAGCAGTTGTGTAGCTTTATTTTTACGCGTAATCTGTAGCTTTATTTTTACGCAGTTGCTCTGTAGCTTTTTTTTTACGCGTAAAAACAAAAAAGGGTTAATCGTACATTATTAGTGCCTTAAAACATTTTTAATTGCGAGTTTGACCCTCAAATCTCGGTATTTGCTCGTTAGTCTCTCAAACTTTTGTTTTATTGAAATTTTGTTCCTCTGTTAGAATTCCTGTTTATTTCCTAAGTCTAGTTGGATTGAGCCATGACTCAACATCTAGAATTACCTAATAAGGTCCCGTGTATATGTCACACTCTCGAGTAACCCGAAATTCATGTCTTCCCATGTTTTCTCCGGCTCTATGAACGAGTAAAATATATCTTTGGATCGTGTTTGGAAAGTTCCAAACCGTTGGAGGAGAAGGAGTTTGCGGGTTTAGCTTTTAGCTTGAGCGGGTTGTGGGTACACATTATGAAATCGGCTGGTAAGGTTTTAAATGATAAATTCATGTCTTCCCATGTTTTCTCCGGCTCTATGAACGAGTAAAATATATCTTTGGATCGTGTTTGGAAAGTTCCAAACCGTTGGAGGAGAAGGAGTTTGCGGGTTTAGCTTTTAGCTTGAGCGGGTTGTGGGTACACATTATGAAATCGGCTGGGAAAGTCATCAATTTTTGTTAAACTGTTTGCGCTCATAAATAATGTTACCTAACAAGAGAGATAATTTTGAATAAAATGAAGATTTTTGAGGAACTAATGAGCAAATACTCCGATTTGAGAAACTAATGAGCAAATTCTCTAATTTGAGGAACTAATTAGCAACTAAAGATGATTATATGGGTCTAATGTGCAATTAAGTCCAAATTAAAAGAATAAAATTCAGAAAATCGCATGTAGGTTGATTTGCACAGAAGGATTTGTATTCTCTTCATTATCAAAAAAGTATCGAAGAGACCACTACATTATCACAATCGTTGATTCTCTAGTGAATAGTTAAGTCTTTGATTTGAGTGCAAACTAGGAACGAGTACAAATCATAGGGGATAAGTGAGTGTTAAATTTAGAATGAATCACAATAACCCACTAGATAATCATCAACGATTGTGATAAAAAAATTATAGTCTCTCCATTAATTTTTTTATAGCAAAGAGAATCCAAATTCTACCCAAAAAGATCATAAACTTCACACATTAGAAAACCCCCATACTTATGAGTTGGTTCACAAATTCTCCTAAACTGCCGAATACTTCAATGTACATAAATACCAATTTTTTTTAAAAACATCTTATCTATTTTGGTCAATGGTTAAAAATGTCTTCCTAATTTTTCTATTTTCGTTCCTTAATGTCTGATTTTTCAAATCATTTTGATGACGAAAAGGATGAAACAGAAATGGGCTAAAAGCCTGTAAAAAAGTTTCTAGCTTTTTCAAATGGACCATGAAAATCTATGGGGGGGAATATCATTGCGAGCTTACCTTTCTTGATTTTAGATTTTTTTTTTTTTTTGATATTTTCCATTATTACAAATAACAAAGGGGAGTAATTTTAGAAGCAAAAGGCTATCCTCAAGGGACAAACTCATCGTCCTATAGAATAGAGACACAATTCACAAGGATTGATAACAATTATATTTCAAAGAAGTCAAATTTAGCATCCTATCAAATCAATATTTTTTATTCTTTAAAACAAAATTCATCCTATAGAATAAACACACAATTCACAAGGGTTGATAACAACTATATTTCCGAAAAGTTAAATTCAACATTCTATCGAATCAAAGAGCAAAATTGACCCGTGTGTTGTCGCGACATCTGCTTGAGAACAATCGAGAATATAGTTTAAGTATTTGGCCTGAAAATATATTGTACACCTAATACTTTAAATAAAATAGCAAGTTAAAGAAAAATATATCATCTCATAATGATACAGAACTAAATATACAATAGTTTAAAATTAATTTTTTCGAGTATGTTAGATCCAAGGTGATCTAGAAAGTGTATGGGTCTAAAAGTAAATGAAAGTAAAACTTTTGGCTTAGAGATAATTTTTTTTCAAGTGAGTTAGTTTAAAAATAAATGAGGAAAAAAACACATCTACAGTTCATCATGCTATGACATTAACATGGAAAAAAACAAAAATATAATGATTAGTGCATTAGGTTATATAGTATACCTAACCATTCAGAAAAAAATATCAATATGAGTGGATTCAAAAAATGGAGGGGAACTTTGAACTTAGAGGCAAAAAAAATTATAGATTAAATACTCAGTTAAAAGATACATTGTAGCTAACTACTTAAAACAAAAATAAAATAACTCACAATGTATACTAAACAGTTGTAATACAAAATAGATTTAAAACTAATGTTGAGCTTCTTATGCTTAAGAGTAGCTATGGAAATGAGTGAGCTTAAAAATAAATAGTGTGACTTTGGATTTAGAACGAAAATATACAAGGTCTATAACAAAATATAAACCCACATATGATGAATTGGTGGAAATGTAAAGTGAGCTTAAGATTTGTTCGAATGAGTATTTTGGATCTCAATGGTGACCTTTGAGGCGAGCGACTTTAATAATAAATGAAGGCAAGATTTTAGGCGTGTACACAAGAACTCTTGTTAAGCAAAGAGTAAGTTTAAAGAGCAATGGTGTAAATTTTTTAGTTCATACACAAAACTTTTTTTTAGGCTGACTCATTAGCAGGCTATTTTACACCATTAATTGAATAACCATAATTTATAACCTAACCATTTAACCACCCATAAGTAGTATAGATTACCCTATTGGATAGGGTGTTCTGTTGAAATCCCTAGAATAACCATTTAGAATAAAAATTTACATGTTAAAATAAAATATAACAACTTACATGTATAAAAAACCGCTAGAATACTTTTGATTTAGGCAAAAAAAGTCTTTGCGAAGTGGATGAATTTAAAGATAAATGAGCATAAAACCTTGAATTTATGGGAAAAACTCATTTACCATTTGCGACATTGCAACAATGTGAAAAAAACCGAAAATAATGCTTAAGCATTTGGTATAAAACAACTACACACCTAGATTCTTAGAAAATAAATATGGTAAGTCAAAGTGGAATATAGCGACTTAAATCATATGTACAAATCGTCACAAAGTTGAGTTTAAAAATAGATTGCTTTAATCTCTAAGAGTGGTTTTCGAGGTGTACAATTTAAAAATAAATAGATTTAATGCTATAGATTTATAACAAAAAAGTCCTTGTAATGGGTAGTGTTGATGGTTTAAATCACACAGTTAAAAGAGAAGGTAATAGGGACTGAGTTGATATAGGGGTCGCTCGCTTTTTCGAATAGCATATTTTGGAATTGGGTTGTTCGTCCATGCACGTGTAACAACTTGTAAGAGGACAAGGACTGGTTCTCCCGTTGTTCCTCCGACGATCAAGTTAGCTAGGTGTTTGAGTAGAAATCTGAGAAAATACAACAGGATGAAGAAAAATGTTGAGGAATTGCTTACCCTTGTATGTGGAATAGTTTTCCTTTTCATAGCCATGCAAGAGGGGTAGTCTAGTCTTTTTGGCTGAGCCTGAGATGGTGGTTGAGTCAGCGTCTACTTTGTTAGGTCTCATGTTATGAGCCTACATCTTCTAATCTTGTTTTGATGATTACAAACAATTCCTAATATTGTTTGTCTAGTGTTTATGTTTTCTTATTAGGTATTCTAGACAAACAACATGTTGGAGGTTGGATAGATTGAGCCTTCACGATCACATCAAATAGAGGATTGGCAGAATAGTGGAATGAAGCCTATGCATACTAGTCAAGATCCAAGTTTAAGCTTCTTCCATGTTTACCAAGACAAGCTACAATGAAGATCTATCAAGATTAGGTAAATTAAGTTTATGTTTTATATAATGTGTGTTAATTCTATAAGCTCAAATATACACACACATTTTATTTGTGAATTTTCTCAGATATAGGAGTTTTTATGCAAAATATGTTTTAATATGTTTTGGACTATATATACATCATAAACATCTTTTGCAAAATATGTTTTAATATGTTTTGGACTATATATACATCATAAACATCTTTTATTATGTCCATATAAATATTCCATAAGTTTTCAAAACTTGTTTTGAGTCAAAAATAAAAAATCACATGATTTATTAAACATGTATTTTAGTGTTTTTGAATATTTCTGAGATTTCACAAATGGTAAGAGAAAATTGAAAAATTCCTTTTTCAACATGTTCATATTCATGTTTATAAACTTTTTCTAAAGTTTTATATTTTTGGAGTTTATTTGCTATTTTTAAAAGGACTTTAAAATTCGTTTTCAAAAATCGTTTTAGACTGATAACCTGTTATCAGTCGACTGATGACATCAGTCGATTGATAAGTCGACTGAAGAATGTGTCTGCAATCTTCAAAAGTTTTTGTTTCATTTTGGTCGACTGACCGGTCGACTGATGATCCATCAGTCGACTGATAAAGGTCGTAAGTCGACTGATGAGCTGGTAAATGCCTACAACTGTTAGCTCACCAGTTGACTGATGAAACCCGTCAGTCGACTGATGGCCTATAACGGTTATATTTCCAGCCTTGGTTATTTTATCATTTTTTTTGTTTTGCTTGGGTTTTGTGCCTTGGTTCTTCACCCTATATATACCCCATTCTATTTCATTTCTGGACCAAGAAAAAGAAAGTTTAAAAACAAGTTTTAAGAGTGGTTTAAGTTTGTTTAAGTGTTTACAAAATTGGTTTTGTGAAGATTGTTTCACAAGAAGAGGAGATCATATTTGGTTTGAGCTTTTCATTTCACATCTCCATCTCTCTTGTTCTAGAGAAGATTTCTCAACTCATTTATCTAGCTTGTTTACATTTACATTGTCATATTTATATTTGCTAGACTTTAATTGAGTTTGATTTTATTTTCTCATTGCTTGCACACACAACTTTTGAGCTTAAGTATTTTCACATATTGTATAATTTGGGGTTGTGGATGAATGTAACCTTGAGAGTGAGCTAAAACTGTGTTCTCATC